GAGAAACAATCACATGTACATGGCATAAAGTATCCAAGCCGGAGAGCTTCATGATGCAATCGCGAAGCAATCTGTCAGACGTCAAAAGTAATATAATTACGTTATAACTGGTGTTTAGCAGTACAACATGAGCGCGGACCGAGGAAACCGAAACCTCATGCGATTATCTCGTCGGAGAAGCAACATCAGCAACAGTCGCCGATTGTCACGCAGTTGTCTTCCCATTCCACAACCCCGGTGCGCAATGATCGATTAAGACCAGCACTCGCTCCACCGTATGTCCTCTCGCCGCACAGGTGTGTGATGTTTATTTAAAATTAATTTCCTCGATTGCATTAAATAAAGATAGCTCTCATAAATTAATATGTCCTAAAAAAAGGATTTTTGATATACTGATGAGTACATATGAGAATATTTATATTTATATATTTACATATGAGAATATTTATCTTGATTTAAGATTAATTTTCTGTTAGTGCAATTATACATTTATAATTTTTTTTGAAAAATTTTTGTCTTGATTGAATTTATATTGATGACAAGTATAAATATTCTTATATATAAGCAAAAGTATTATAATCTTCACATTCAGAAGATTTTAAGTTGAGTAAATGTAATATTTGCATCGATACGAATTTAATCAAATTAAAACTAAAATTTTAAAGAAAATTATGATTTAAGATTAATTTAAGACTAACTTTTTTTCTAACAAATAGAATCTATTTTTTTATATTGTGCAAATCCTGAATAGAATTTTAAATAATAGTAATTTTAACTTTTTGCGAATTTTAATTGTTTGCGGTGACGCAGTATTATCTAATCAAAAATTTTATCTATGAATCTAAGAATTTTTATTTGGAAGAACAGAATTGAGTATCTGACTTGATATGTATGTAAGGATTACTAAAAAATTAATTATAAATACATATGTCGCAAATCTATGAAGAAAAAAAATCACAGCAAACAATCATTTTTGACGAAGCGATTTCTGTTGACGAAAAAAAATTGACCTCAGTCGAAAAATTAAACCCTCAAAGCAAAATGCAAAATGCAGCGGTGGGAAAGTATTTCGCGGTAGATAAAATTAAGTGACGCTAGAAGTTCTTCGCGAAGTTAGTTAAGGGTTATTACTGCAGGAGGTTAAGGTGACGACCAAAGATTCACGCCTTATCCACGACCGATGGCGCTGGTACAGAAACCGCCGGAGGAATCACCATCCCCCGTACCGCTGATCCTACCGCACCCTCGCACGACCACGACCCTCTATCAGGCGGCCACGACCGTCTCCCTAGCGCCGCAGCCTCCCCTTCTGCAGATACTAATGTCTGCCGAGGAATGTCAGGTAAGTAATTTAGCTTAATTTTCGCGTCCGCCTCCCCGTTTCCATTCCTGCAAACTTAATAAAGCCGGGTTGCTCCGCTCAGTTTCCTCCCCGCGGTGTCTAAACGGCGGATAAATTACACGCAGATATTATTATTAAAACAAGTCTCTCGGAGAATGAAAAGGACGGCCTTTCTCTTACGGATATTAATTTCTAGCTTCGTGCGTAATAAGAATATTATTTAAGATTACAGCTGAAGCTAAAATAAAAAAAAAATAATATATATATATATATATATATAATCAAACGAGCAGTATCGAAAATAGAGCTTTAATTTCCAATTGTTTATTATTAAGCAATCATTAAAATATTATTCATTGTGTTCTTATTTCCGAAAATATAGGAAGATGTAATTAGTATTTTTACACATGTGTGTAGATACATCGATTATTTATCTATCACATTTTATCTGTTTACATTTTGCTATTTATGGTTATTATTACCTCATACCTCAATCCTACATTTTTTTGTGACAATTGTATTCTTCTTGTCTAAATTACCGCTTTGCGCAAGGAACTGGTTTGGAACGCGCGATTACAACCTACGGCGGAATATCCGATAGAGCAGATGGAAACGGAGACAAGTCGGAGCCCGACGGGTACCGTGCAGAGTTTCAGTCCGACCTGGGAGATGCTGCAGGTACCAATCAATGCTTTCATCATACACAGAGAGAACAGTCTTGTTGACGGATAGAAAATTTGATCAGATTCACAGATCTGAAAATAATTTCGTTGAGCCATCAGAATTATTATGCAGGACGCTTAAAGGTGTATTATATCCATTTTTATTTACAATGAAGAATTATAAAAAAAATTATAAATTAATCTATACACAAAAAATTTTGCAGCGATTTGGAAAGGATTCTTGGATCAAGAATTATTCAAAGTAATACAAAGTAGTGTTCTTTAATGAAATTTAATTAAGAAATAAAATTTCAATTTTTTTTTATAAGTACTTAATTTATTTTTAGATAAGTACTTAAATATTCAAGATAATTTATGTAAAATTTTATTGAGAAGCAGAAATTAGTTCTGTAAACAAAAATTAAATTTTTATTTACAGAATAACTTTCTGCGTCGAAATTTTGCATAATTTTGAATATTTAAAGTATCTATGTAAAAAAATTAAGAGCCATTATTTCTTAATTGCATTTCTATTAAACCATACTTGTACTTATTTATTTAAATAATTTTTCCAGGTTTTAAACGGCCATTAAACTTTTTTATTTTTAAAAATGACTTAAGATAATCTGTAATATTTTTCATAATATTTTTATTGTAAATATAAAAACTATAAAAACAGATGAAATACATTCTTAATCGTGATAACAATACTGCAAAATTTTCTAGCGACCAATTTGAACGTTTTAGATAATAATTATATCGATCCGATCGAAATAAAATTATTTTCAGATCTGTATCTAGCCAAGTTTTGGTAAATCCTTCAGCAAAACTGTTTCGCACTAGCACTGGCTTTTTTTTTTTTAATTGTCATCTACATTGATGTGTATTCACATCGTGTGAATATTATTAATGCAGGAGACAACAGCCCGACTGCTCTTTATGGCTGTCAGGTGGGTGCGTTGTCTGCCGCCTTTTCAAACGATATCGAAGGACGATCAGCTGCTGTTGCTGGAACGATCCTGGACGCAATTGTTCCTCCTGCATTTGGCGCAATGGTCCGTCTCATGGGATATCACGGCGCTTCTCGAGGACGAGCAAGTGCGCAGCAGACTACCCACGGACGATAACCCGACAAACCAGGAGCTCGTCCTTATTCAGGTTTATCCGTCTTATCCGTTCGCTCGTACACTAGGAGAAAGCTTCCTTTGTATCTATAGCAAGTTCTATTTGCGTTTGACTTGAATTTAATTTAATTTAAACGACATAATTTTAGACTAAACGTCATTTTGTTGAATCAAGAGTTTCCGTTAGAGAACACACCATGTTATTTAACGATAAAAAAAAACACTATTGTATAAAGAAAATAATAAAATTTTTCTTTGAACTAAATAATACTTTGTTTGGATTAAATATTGTTTCAACGAAAAAAAAAGAGAGATTTTTTTTTTAATATCGTTGAAGCGTATAACAAAGAGCGTCATTTTTTTCAAACAATTTATTAAACGAGTCTTTTATTTAAAATAAAGCTGTTTATTATTTGAAAAGCCAAATCAACTTCATTGAATCAATAATTGTTTCGTTTGGACTATTTCAAAACATAAAGTTCTTTGAATCTAATAAAATTTATTAAATCCAAAGAAAGCGTTCTCTTTGTGTGGCAAATCGAAATGAAGATTATCGCCCGTGATGATTTGACTCGCTGTAAGCGAGTCCGTTTCCTTTTCAGTAACAAAGATCAGACTACGACGTATCAATTTAGCAATATTGATTTTTTCTTCTCTCAAACTTCTAGAATATGACACGCGAGAATTTTCTTTTCCTGAAAAAGTGTGACTTTATCTCGTTTCTATTTTGACGAATATTTCTACAGTCTCTTTCGCAGACGTGCAAGATTTGTTTCAACGAAAAATGTTCTTACGTTCCAGGCTATAATATGCCGATTCAGACAATTGTCTCCTGATTTCGGCGAGTGTGGCTGCATGAAGGCAGTGGCTTTGTTTACGCCAGGTAAGGAACATTGATACTTGTTATATTGCTAATTATTATACTGGCGTAAATGTAGCATATGAGTTATTTTCGAAAGATAAATTTACCAAACATTACAAAATCATTAAATGTAAAAAACCTCGCGTACCTCGATTTATACGAAAATAATGTTTTTATTCAATTTACTTGAATTTGTAATATGTTGTAATTCTTGCAGTCGGTGATTAAAAATTTTAATTTTCAGAACCTTATAGTCTTCGAGTTGTAAACATTTGAAAGTCTCTTTCACAAGATCCTCTTACAGAAAGAAGATTAATCTTAAATCAAGATAAATATTCTCATATATAAGGAAGAAGAATATTATACTCTATAAGAAGAATATTATACTCTTCTTAAAAGTTTTAGTCTTGATTTTATTGAATTTATATTGATGCAAGTGTTACTTTTGCGCAACTCAAGACTAAAAATCTTCTACATAAAAATTAGAATATTCTTATTTATATAAAAATATCTATATCTGCATTAATATGAATTCAATCGTAAAATTTAAAGACTAAAATTTTTCTAAGAAGACTATAATATTCTTACTTGAGGATATCTGTTTTAATTTATAACTATTTTTTTCTGTGCTCGTATACAAGTTTGTACTTTGTGCCTGTCCGCATTATATCTATATCTGTGTGTATGAATGTGGATGCTGTGCCGTGTGTATGTGTGTGTGTGTGTGTAAAAAACAAATCATATTTCCATAAAATGTTTAGTTTTCAAGAAATAAGAGGGTGCTTTTTTTGAAAGATCTATGTCAGTATCAAACTTTCTCCTCTTATATCATAATTATCTTTATTAATTCGTTTTTGCTTATTAATTAAGACAAATATCATATATATTTTATCTTTCTTTATAAATCGCAGAGACAGTTGGCTTGCACGCGGTCCAGCCTATTGAGATACTGCAAGATCAGGCCCAACGTATTTTAGTGGATTACACAAGGTCACGATATCCGCAACAACCCGGAAGAATCGGCAGGTTGATGATTCTAGTCGGCTACTTGAGGTGCGTTTCTTCCAAGACCGTCGAACGTCTGTTCTTTCATGAAACCATCGGGGAAATACCAATCTCACGCTTGCTAGTCGACATGTACCAAATGGAGAAGTACATCAACTGAAGCGCATTTGCATTTTGCATATCGTACATATATCTATACGCATCATAAATGTGTGTCAGGACCAGCGAGCTCGCAGCTTCCCAAAACTCTTCACATGTAAAGACGTCACAGAAAACAAGATAACAGAAAAGTTTTTGAATTCCATAGCGGCTCCCACCTTTCCTTTCTGTCGGCGATTCTTGCCCTTGCGATTATGTAGCATATCCGATGTGGAAGGTGATTCTTTATTATTTTATCAAATTCATCATACATGAAATTTCTATAACAATACTGTTACGGAATTAATAATTCCTTATGTCGGTTACTTTTATAGAGTACTAACCGTAAAATGTCTAGTCTTTCTGTCGATTTTTGATTTTAATCGTTTTTAATTTTTTCTACTTTAAATACTATAATTAAAATAAAATTATACACACACATACGCACACGCGCGCATTCCTATGAAGATATAGTTGTAATTAACATTATACTTAATTTTTGTTAATATTTTTATTTCAATATACGTAAACATCAAAAACATACATAAGTAATTGTTTTTTTTTTATTATACATATTATTTTCATATTAACAAAAATACGATGGCCAATTATGAATAAAATCTGGATAATGGTTAATACATATTCGCTTCTAATGGCGTTCTTTACTTAGCAGAGTATTGGCTATTATCCACTATTCGTGCCATTGTATTTCTAATTAAATCGAAATTAAATACATTACATTTACGTCATCGTTTGTGCATGATAACTTTTCTTTAATAAGAGCGACAGATTAAAATCATAAAGTACATAAAGTACCAAATTCATATATTCCAATGAATACAAAATCTAAGAAGAAGTAATATGAAGAAATTTCATGCGCTTTTCATTGCTTATTTCAACTTCATTGATCAATATAGATCGCAGAAATTTTAATGAAGCAGAAAAATTGACATTTATTTTCTGTATTATTTAAGTCCTTGTTCGTATTTCTATGCTTTTGTAAAATAGTAATAATCTCTTATTATACGAAACTCTGCGTTTTATTTGGAATAATAAAACTGTTTTTCTAACAATACGTTTTTAGAATATTTAAAATACTAAACGGAGTACAACCAATTGTAAAACAGTTTTGAAAATTGTGCTCGAAAAAAATATTCGAGTATCTGTAATATATTATATGTCCCTCTCTGTGATCTCCCTTAAATAAAGAATTATTATATCAATTCGATTTGTTAAATAATGATGCGTGGAATATCGTATATGTATTGCATTAGCGTAAAGATAAATTGTATGGTAAATATAACGTAGGCAATGCAAATGTTGCAATATAACTACTATAATATAATTGTAAAAAGCGTAGTATAATAATGGTGCTCTAATTTTTTTATGTCATTGCTTTGACAATAGATAACATTTATTTATAAGGTTTTATTCGAGTGCAATGCAGAATTCTTTTATCACGAATTGATGGTATCGAACAAAACGGGACGAAATATATCGTAAAATGAAATAATAGTCAACAATGTAATTGTTATATTCTCAAACTCTTTTGTTAATAAAATTATTATTAAATTTGTTATATACTTACGTAAAAAATATAGCATACAGGATAAATTCTATTCTGTATTAATAAATGTCTTACACAAATATACATCTGTAATATTTCATTTCAATGTATTAAACTTTGTCGTAATAAAAAAAAATCTTTTTTTATTACAATCTAGAATATAGTGTTTATACAATACACAGAATAGTATATACATATATATAATAACGCTATATATATGTGTGTGTGTGTGTGTGTGTATAGTAGTTTACAAATTAAACATTAAATTTGGTAAATAAGCAAAAAATAAACATGGAATTGTTCCTCCATTGTTATAATATTTAATCAATATGCATTTATATATGTGTGTGTGTGTGTGTGTGTGTG